TCTTCTTGTGGTCTTGGTAGCCAGCTGCCATATGAAAACTTTGACAACCATGAGACCACCATGGTAGGAGGAAACCTCGCTGAGCCACATGGACAAGTCACATGTAGAAGAATAAAGACGCTGGTCAGCAGTCCTGGCTGGGCTCAAAGGCAGTAGCCAGCACCAGCACCAGCATCAACTTGCCAACCGTGTGATGGAGATCATTTCTACTCTCCTAGCCATTCCAGCCTCCCAGCTCACAACCTGTGAAGTATAACTGCCCATTCAGTGCACAGTATTATGAGAAACAATAAAATGTGTTTATACCACCAATTTCGGTTATTACACAGCAGTAGACAAGCACAATAGAAATTGTGGGAAGCTGAGTGACCTTGAGGAGACTGAGAGTAAAAACTGGAAGAGCAGAGACAAGTTGTTATTGGAGATGACCATTTTATGTTAACGGAGTGAACAAAATCCTACTAACGGGACTGATGTCAACAAAGTAGCTACAATTTAGTCTGCACTTATTATGTGCCATTTAATCCTCACAATGCCCCCACAGGGTGGATATCTTCATCCCTATTTTATAGATGAGGAGACAAGGCTTAGAATAAATCTCTGTTCTCTCTGGCTATATGCCATACTATCTCAGAAACTGTACTTTACAGTTTAAAAGAATATCCTTGTCACTCCCAAACCCCTTCAGTAGGACTGACTGGCAAAACAGGTAAGGAAAAGAGCATTCCAACAACATGGAAAAGTTTTTAAATTAGATTAGACCAGAGGTTCTTAGTTATTATTTCCAAAAAGTAACCCATCCCTATTACAAAGCAATTAGAGTTAGAGTAACCCATCCCTATTACAAAGCAATTAGAATTAGAATATTTAGGTAAATAAGGTAAATTCGTTAGGTGATTACAGGGCACAGCCAGAGCTGTGATTTTTTTAAAAAGTCCGTTAGGTGATTACAGGGCACAGTGGAGAACTACACTGCACCTGTAAAGAGGTATGTGGGAATAGCCATGGTCTATGTGTGAGCTGTTCTCACATCAGAATCACAGTGTTAATGGGGGGTGTGTGTGCAACAGATGTGTGTAGGTTGGTTGATTGACATCTGGAAAGAGCTTTGAGATCTGGAACATTAAGATAATGTGCATTGAAAAGTTCAAGTACTATAGAGATAAATTGTATACTAGTAAATGTACATCCTCAGCGTAAGTAGAAAGTACTTAAAATTGTGCCTTAATTATGTTAGTTGGGAAATTTAGAATTCTCTGCCAACCATTTTTTATGCCACTATTTGTAAAAATACATCTTTGTTTTAGTTATGACATCATGAACATCTTTCACAATTCAAAGTGTTATAGGGATGGAGAAAAGCCATTGACGTCACACAGTGCATGGTAGCTGTTGTTGCTGTTTCCTTCCCTTCCATTCTTTCTCTTGTCTTTTTATTCTTCCCTTCCCTTTTTATTTTTTTTAAATATATTTTTATTGATTTCAGAGATGAAGGGAGAGGGAGAGAGAGATAGAAACGGCAATGATGAGAGGGAATCATTGATTGGCTGCCTCCTGCACGCCCCCTATGGGGGATCCAGCCGCAACCCGGGCACGTGCCCTTGACAGGGAATCAATCCTGGGACCCTTCAGTCCACAGGTCGATGCTCTATCCACTGAGCAAAACTGACTATGGCCCCATCCCTTTTTAATCTCTTCCTTTCCCTACTCAGCAGAGAAATTTGAGAGGTAGTAATAGAGATGGAAGTGTTAATTTTATAGATTAAAAAAGGGTCAATTCTTATAGTTGATTATAGAGTTTGGTCTCCAGTTCTCATAAAAACAAAAACAAAAAAACACCGGTTAAATATACCATTTGTTTAAATTTTTCCTCTTTCCAAAAAGTATCTGAAGCTGCACAGAACATTGCAGAAAATTAACAACATATAAAAATAAAAGTGGCCATAGCTGGTTTGGCTCAGTGGATAGAGCGTCTGCCTGTGGACTGAAGGGTCCCAGGTTTGATTCTGGTCAAGGGCACATGCCTGGGTTGTGGGCTAGGTCCCTGGTGGAGGGTGTGCAGGAGGCAGCCAAATCAATGACTCTCATCATCGATGTTTCTATCCTTCTCTCCCTCTCTCTTCCTCTCTGAAAGCAATGAAAAAAACAACAACAAAATAAAAAATAAATAAAAGTAAAGTAAATATCTTGGAAAGAAGATGCAGCATTATAATAACCATAGGAGCTTCGCAGGATTTTGTGAATGAGTAAGAAATTTACTGTGGGCTCCCCAATAAGAGGAGAAGGAAGTTTACATAATGTAGTTAGCAAAAAGGAGGAAGTGTGTAGCAATTACTCAGGGATGACAAGAAACTTCTGCTTTGGGACCTTCTAGGTGACATTGTGTGTCAGGAAAGCAGCACACGCCCTTGACTACAGCTTCATAGCAAGTAGTTTCAATCTTGCTGTTCCTTGTAGTTGAAGACATAATGTTAAAGCCCAGCTCAATAAGGTTGATCTTCTAAGGTTGAGATGTTGGAGTTTAGCTGATCTTTACAACGTATCCATTTTTTTCTATGTTGACTTTTATCATTTCCTCCTTGCTTTTCTTTAGAGATTTCTTTAAGTCATTGGTTCTCAACCTTCCTAATGCCTCGACCCTTTGGTGTAGTTCCTCATGTTTTGGTGACCCCCAACCATAAAAATATTTTCGTTGCTACTTCATAACTGTAATGTTGCTACTGTTATGAATCGTAATGTAAATATCTGATATGCAGGATGGTCATAGGTGACCCCTGTGAAAGGTTCGTTCGACCGCCAAAGGGGTCTCGACCCACAGGTGAGAACTGCTGGCTTAGAGTCTTCTGCTGGTGTTGTCTGGTCCTCAGGGGTGATGGGGAGCTGAATCTGAACTGAATGGAGAAAGCTATTTTTGCCAGTCAGAATCTGTTGGGGTAAACTTGAATTTCAGTTGTCTTTTTCATTTTCTTTTTGACAGCAAACATTAATGCTTGAGGACACGCAGCCACTCATTTCTGGAAAGCACCAAGTATTTGTTTTTTATCTGTGAGACTCAGACAGAATCAGTTTCAAGTTGTTTCTGTAGATATTAAAGATAAATATTTAGATTAAAAAAGTTTATAAATTATGTAATTTACTCCATCATCTGTGGAATTATGAATTTTTTCCTAGGGTAGATTGAAAAATTTATTGAACACTTACTTTGTAAAAGACATTACAATGAGTAATAGGTGCAGAGTAGGGGGATACATTATACATACCAGACATGGGGTAGCCCACTGTAAACTTCCAGTCTTGTTGAGAAGTGAAAATATTACGTGAAATTAATATTTTAAATTATTTTAAAGTAGAATGTTTTTAAGAGACAGTTATTTATTGTAGTGAAAGCTAAACATTCATTTCTTTGGGGTACTGTAGAAAGAGAGTATAATGAAGTTAGAGATAGGTTCAGAATAGGTAGATTTTAAACCAAGTATCAAAAGAGACAGCATCTGTTATTAGAGATAACTAAATCAGGAAGGAGAAAGATTAAGATCATATTTTGAAAGTTGTCTTGTGTTTTGGGGAAACTTCTTGAGAGGGAGAACTTATTTAATAATAATTTGCATTACAATATTATCAATAACTTTTAAAATGTGAGTGAGGCTCTTGTGAATGACTCATTTATTGCAAGTATTTGAAACACAACATTGCAGCATGAAAAAATAATAATTAATTTTTTTATTATTTCTGGCATGTGTTTTAATAGTATATGAAGTATAGATAGTATATATACATATTGTGTATGACCCCAGTAAATTCCTTGATTTTCAGATAATATGAAACTTGAATTTCAGTTCTCTTATCTGCCATCTATCATCCTCATGCGTAGTGTGACTGCTCTTCATGATTTATTGAAAGCATTATATTTAAGTTTAATATTTCAAGACTTTTATTTAGAAAGGTATTTTTCTTTGCTTCTGTTTTAAAACTAAAATACCCAAAGCAATATATTAAGATCTCTCTCTTGTTCTTTTAAGTTTAAAATTTTAAAAATTAGTTTTGAGTTTATTTCAAGTTATTTTGCAACATTGAAGTATTTATCTCTTAAGATTCTTGAAGTGTGTCCCCCCCCCTCTTTTTCTTTTTAAAAAAGTCTTTGGAATCTGTATTAAAAAACTGAAAAATGTGTCTTCTCTTACTCATACACACAAAATACCTCTTACTATTATAGTCATACTTTATTTCAATGTACTCCATTGGGACAACTAATTAGTCATGATGAAAAAAATATTCTATGGTTCTTTCTCTTTTTAATTCATACTATTCTTCTGAATAATCTATTGTCATCCATCCATCCATTTATTTTTTATTTGTTCATCTCCATTTATTCTTTTATTTGTTCACCAAATACATGTTAAATATCCATAACATTCAAGAGAATGAACTGGTGTCTGGATGGATGAGAAGGTGCTATAAAATTGCCTACATCATGAGACATGACTCTGGGAGACAAAAGTAGAAAATGTTAATTTTCATAAGTAACATCATTAAGTAACACACTTTAGGAATTTGCAGATAACAAGGAAAATTTCCAACTCATAGGGAGGTGGGTTAAGTGCTTCAGAAATATTTTTTCAGTTAAGCTGAACTACTCAGTCCTTGGTGGCTTTTCTTTTTCTTTTTTTTTTTTTTTATGAAGTAACATATTTTACTCCTTAGCATTTAGTAAAATAAATATGATTGAAGGTAGATGTTCTCAACTCAAAATTACTAGTTTATGCTTAGATTTTCAAGATATTTCACATTGTTAATACTTTTATTTTTTGTAGTTAAAACACAGATATTATTATATACTCATTAACATGACAGAAAGTATGAAGCACTATCTGCCCTCAAAGCTCATGCTCTTTCCTTTTCTTACTGAAGAAAGCTTAGTTGCAATGCAGCCATGTGTTTTGAGAAGTGCTTATTGTGATCTTTGCTAATTTTTGTTTAATATTATAAAACATTATTTTCAGAGGCAAAATCAATCAAGGCTTGAAGGACTTAAAAGATGTTGTTCCAGTAGGAGAGACATTCATCCATGAAGGACTAAAGAAAGTAAGTTTTTTGACATTTATGCATACGGGAGAGAATGTTTTCCTATGCTGTGATGAAATAATTTATAGCTCTCTAGTCAAAATGAAAACCCTATTACATATCTATTTAGAAAAAAATCTAAATTCATTTAGTTGTTTTAGGAATGAGGCTGATAGAAAACATTACTTATCATGATAAGAAAAATTTGGATGGTATTTTGCCTTTTAAAATTATTTTATTTTATTTTCTCTTTGGTAGCTAACCAAAGCTAAAAATCTATGTCATTTAAACCCAATAGTAACTACTCTATAAAGTAAATATATGTATATTTCAATAACATAGTTAACACAAATACTGTATTTTAAAAGCCAGTCCATAATATCTTGATTTTGTCACACTTATAAATTCAGTTTGAATAGAACATGCTGGTTCAAAGTTAAGATTAAATTGTGAGTTAGATCATTATTCTTCATTTTTAGGCAAATGAACAAATTGAGAAAGCAGGAGGCTTAAAAACCTCCAGTATCATAATTGCTCTGACTGATGGAAAGTTGGAAGGTCTGGTGCCATCATATGCAGAGAAAGAGGTGAGTATTGAACTGAAACTGTTCTTTATACCCCAGTGTATTCATCGATAGCCTGATATTTGAGTAATTAACTTCTCTCTCTGTCTCTCTCTCTATCTCTACCTCTATCTCTATTTCTCTCCATAGGCAAAATTAGCCAGGTCATTTGGGGCTAGAGTTTATTGTGTTGGTGTCCTTGACTTTGAACAAGGTCAGGTGAGTAGAGCAGATATGCAAACTTTAACCTAAATCATAATTGTCTTAAGGCTAGTTTATTAAATTCCTTTCACTGATGCTAAAGATTTTCTATAAAAATGAGCATATTCTTGAATGTCTTGATTAATAATGTCTGATCTTAACAGGTTTTATTACTGAAAAACAAAACTCAAAATTTATTGAACATTTTTTGGTTTGGAAGAACTCAGGACAAACATTTAGGTTAAAATAATATAAGTACTTCCGTTCTTTAACTCAACTGACAAGATTATTATGACAGTCTTATTTAAGTGTTTTATTTTGATTTAAAACTAGACCCTTAGGAATTCAGGGATTTAGGAAGTTTGCTTATGAGAAATCTTTAATAATTTTCTTTAAAAAAACTTTTTTTCATGAAGTTTTAAGGTTTTATATATTTAAAATGTTTTTTGCACTCACAAAATGATTTTGCATTTAAATTTTTGGTTGAGCATGACTAATTAGGACTCCTGTCTCTGGTGACATTTACAGCTAGTAGAGTTCTGTACTGTTCTGAAATTGAAACTTGAGGCCAACGTAAAGCTGATCTCAGTTCATTTCATTGTGATGCATTTAGAGTATCCCTAGTGCAGTTTCTGACAGGCTACAGTAGGGGATAAATCTTGTGGTGTAATTCTTCAGAAGAACATAATTAAAATGTAATGAAGTTTATAAAGTGTTATATGTCTCAACCACCTCTTAATTAAATTTTTCTCCTCTTTCTAAAGCTCGAAAGAATTGCTGATTCCAAGGAACAAGTTTTTCCTGTCAAAGGTGGATTTCAAGCTCTTAAAGGAATAATTAATTCTGTGAGTATTTCTCTGGGGGCAGGAAAGGCTCATAATTTTAGATACATTTTAAACTGTAAGAAGTAATCCTGAGATCCAGTTCAGGTGGTCATTATCTTGAAGAAAGAGGTTAAGGAGGAAGGTTGTTCAGCATGGCAAGCGCCATGTAATTCTAAAGATCTAGATTTTGTTTGTCAGATTTGGTATTAATTTTTGCAAATTGAGCTCTGTGAGATTGGGTTTGTGATTTCAAGTTTAAGATTTTCATAAACATTCTTAGACACTTCTACCCTTTGAGCATGGTGTTCCTCAGCATCTTGATAGCTGGAGAGTTTTATAGGCTTTATAGAAGCAATGTCAAATAAAAATTTGGATTGGAATGTGTGATTACTCTCTTTCCAATATGGTATTTCCTAGCTATCAGTCAGGCAACTTGAAGCACCGGCTGAATATTTGACTGCTCTTGTTGTTCTTTCCATTTTAATGATTAATAGTTTCACTGGAACTCATAATATTTCTGTTTCAAATTCAGCAGAGCTGTCTCTGGTGATCATTAGAATCTGGGCTATCCTAAACAGGGTATGGGGAAGTGGAGTGATGAAATGCAAAGCAAAACTCCCAGGCTTTCACAGCTGAGGTTTATGTTTCATTTTACTGCCTTTTGCTAGAAGCACTAGGAACAGTTGCTATTAAGTATTTATGATATTTTGGTAAACATCATCCTAAAATGGAAGTGAATAATATGATATTCTCTAAGTCAAAGCTTTTCCTTTAATCTCTAGGTATTTATTGAAGGGGTAAATAATGTAGTTTCTTCTGACATTGGGCTCTGGCTTTTAAAATTTTTCTTTAAAGATCATGTTTTTCAGAAACAGAGTGATATTTATTGAATTTGGTTTTAGTATCATGTAAGCTCTTTTTCCTATTTAATTAATGGAGCTTTTCAGAGAAGACATGTAATTTGGCCTTATCACATATTAGTGCTTCTAGTGGACAGGCAAAATGTAAATGCAGAATGGAACAGAGATTTAAATATTTTAGGAGTTTACATACATTAGTAGTTTTTATGAAAAATTGTTTTTATAGCTGGATACAAGATAAGTACTTTACAACTGTGATTTGCTTTAAAATATAGGAATATGGGTGGACATTGCAAAATAGAGGATAATTTGACCCAATCAATCAATCAATGGATTGTATTTTAAATAGAATTTTATTGTGCTTGGGAATTTATAATTATTTTAATAATTATACTGGCAGAGAGAAAAGACCTTACTGAGTTATTCCCTTTGGAATATTTTTTTCTCTATATGAAAAATTTAATTCAAAATTCTCCACATGACTAATTTCCTTTTCAAAACTCTTTATGGGTTATGATTACAGATTTCTCCTTCAAGAAATTAATAGTTAACTACCAGAGGAGATAATATTGTTGCTATTGCTTTGTTATATTTATTTGTTAAATTTTGTTTTTAAAAATTTGTATTAGGGAAACTTTAGAATGGAATTTCTAAATATAGTCTTTCTTTCCTGAAGTTCTTGATGCACTTATCTTGAGTAAATTGTGTTGAAAGACTTAGCATATGTTGGAGCAGATGTGGAGAAAAAGGAACCCTCATTCACTTCTGGTGGGAATGTAAACAGCCACTATGGAAAGCAGTATGGAGATGCCTCAAAAAATTATGAATAGAGCCTCCATCTTACCTAGGAATCCTTCTTCTAGGTATCTACTTAAATAAGACAAATTATCTTCTCTGAAGGGACTTGAAAATAATGATAAATTGAGTTTTGGAATATGGTGATCCCCTGCAAGAATTATGAAGTGTGGGGATTTGGAGGTGGGAAATTTCAGTGAGCCACCCTATGTGGTAAAAAGAATCCTATAATGTAATTTATGTTAAAATGACAATATGGCTACAGTAGAGTTGCCAGAAGGATGGGTTAAGTTTGATATGTGAAGTCATGGAAGCTTTTTGTGGTAGGGATTGGATTGTGCTGTGATAATTGGAGTAGATTGAATTAGAAACAAAGAACATAGACTTTTAGGAACAGCTTGGGCTGAGTGGCTGAGGCACAGGAGGGAGTGTGGCTTGGCCTGGATCAGGGAGGGATATGGGAGATAAACATTGACCTGTAGGCTGGGCCCAGATTATGGAGGCCTTCAGATGCTTGGATGGAGACTTTGCACTTATTTCATAAATAATTGGGGAATCATGAAAGATTAGAGTATGAAATGTATATGATAGCAGTGAATGTTTAGAAAGAATACTTTTATGATAATGTAGAGCAGGGGTCCTCAAACTTTTTAAACAGGGAGCCAGTTCACTGTCCCTCAGACCGTTGGAGGGCCGGACTATAGTTAAAAAAAAACTATGAACAAATTCCTATGCACACTGCACATATCTTATTTTGAAGTAAAAAAACAAAATGGGAACAAATACAATATTTGTATTTGCATGTGGCCCGCGGGCCGTAGTTTGAGGACCCCTGATGTAGAGGATGATTTGGAAGATGGAAAGGTGTATTCTAAGTGTCTTGCAGTAATGTTTGTGAGACACGGTAAAAGGAAACTTAATATAGTGGAGACAATATGGTTGGGAATAGAATGACCTGACTGAGCTCCAATCATACCACTGCCCTGTGGCCTGTATGTGTTCTCTAATGTAACCTGAGTTTTAAAATTCTCATCAGCCCAATGGGGATATTAACATCTGTTTCATTGGGTTGTTTTGTGAATTAAATGAGATGATGATTAAGAATGATCTAACTCAGAAGGGCTGGTAGGAAGCGAGGAATGGCGTGAAGCTGGGACTGTGTAGGAGAAGAGTCCCCTGAGACAGACGCCAGCATTCTAAACAATCAACGATTTAGTCCTAAAAGGGCATGGCATTGATATGTGAGAGGATCAAATCTAGCAAGTGGGTCTTAATAACAAAGAGTGCTAGATGATGTTGTTACCCATAGTCAAGTATCTGGCCAGGCCTTAGTTCTAAATCCTAAGGCCATGGGACTAGGGAACCAGTCAATAACTGGGGAAGGGGATTCAGTCTCCCCAAGACAAAAACGATGTGGAATTTCAGGACCCTGCATTCAGAAAAGAGCCACCATTCTCATGGGGAACCCTGTAGTGCAAATTAGTGATGCAGAGCAGAAACCTAGTTTTTAAGGAGGAAACAGCATCCCTGATGGACCATACTTCCTCAGGAATTATTTCAGGCACCGGGATGCTAGGTCTTTTGCAATAAAACTAGGTCGAGAACCTCAAGGGAAATGACTAATAAACTCTGCCCTGTCAGAATCTTATCAATAGACAGGGTCAGACTGCACTCTAGGTATGAAATGTTTTTCTTTCTGAGTCAGGCTCTGGAGGCTCTGGCAAATATTCGCTGGCAGCTGTTCATTGCTGTTGTTACTGTCATGGCAGTGAAACTGGAAAGAAAAAGGTAAACTTGGTAAGCTTTAAAAAGTTAATAGGACTTGAGAGCTCACTGGATATACGATGAAAAGGACAGAGAGGGGCTCACATGCCCCCTTGGGCATTCTCCCCCTGACTAAGACGACTAACTAGAAACAGTGAGAATGAAAGCTCTTTTTAGAAAGTGTTAGGGTAGGAGGAGGAGTTGGGTAGGAGGGCAGAGAGAGATGTTGAATTGGGCCTCAGGAGAAATCCTAGTGGGAGATGTCCCTTCAGGAAGTGAAGGTCCAGTGAAATGTTCAAGTGGGAAAACTTTAGAATTTCAGTCATTGTTCCTCCTCTTGTTCTTTCCTCTCTCCCATTGCCCACAAACACAAGGGTATAATTCTTCTATTTTCCACTTTAGGTTGCCATTAACATCTTAGAATGTTTAACATTTATTTTTGGTTTCTTGGAAAAGTGAGTGCAGGACTTTTATTTAAAAGTGGAATATTTAAACGAGTATAAGTCAGACTGACATGTGAGTACCACGTGGTTTCTGGTTTAGTGTTTCATAATGCAGTGCTGTGGAAGAAAACATTAAAACTTTTGAAAATCTAGGATTGCTGAAAAATATGGAAATAATAAAAATCAAAATGCTCTGTGGAAGACCCCCCTCCTTTTTATCCCCCCCCTAAAAAGACCATGGGATGTTTTTCTCTTTGCAATTAGTTCCATAATTTTTTTTTGATAGAGTACCTCAGAAAGTAGTAAACAGAAGAGATGAATCACTTGTGAAGCTGGTTGTATAAATAGCCCTCATCGGGAAGAATTAAGAACTCTGCATCCTGGGTGATGGCAGATACTGTCCCAGTTCCTAAGTCCCTAATGGGAAAGTACAGGAAGGTAAATAGGAAGGAAATGATTGTTCACACGTGTAGGAAATTTAAATAAAACTGTTATGCATTCTTTATAAAGTGAAAAAAAGTGCAACATACATTTAAAAAGTAACTTCATTCCTAGTGCTGAAAATAGAAGCTTCGTTGGACCTTTAGAGCTAAATTATTTCAGTAATGTCTATTATTGTTGTTAGGTGTTTTTGTTTTTTCTTTAAAAATATCTAAGAAAGGTGTATAAACTATGTTTTAATGGAATGATAAAACATTGCAAAATCATTTTCTCTTCATGTAAAACATTTCCATAGAAGAGGGTACATAATAAACATTCTGATAAGACCTTAGCTTAAGTGATTTTAGCAGGTTCTACTATGAATGTTGACTGGTTAGTTGTGGAAATCTTTATTTATAAAATCATGGTTGGATAAAAAGCCTAAAGTCTGAGCTAACTATAAAGATATATTCACAGGGGGAAAAACGAAACTGGCAGGACTTATTCACGATTGGAAATCAGTGTCTACAACTCTTTTTAAAAAGGACTGGCTATAGTGTAAGGCTCACTATAAATCAGATTCTTCTGCGCTTAATAGAGATGAGGAGTCTCATCAGGACATCTTTCATATTAATTGTAGGAAGGTTGGGACTATATTTTCCTCCTCCTTTTTATGCCTAGTGTCTAATATAGCATTGAGTAAGCAGTCATTACTTAATTCAAATTTATAAATGTTCAA